ATAGCCCTATAATATAGAATGATGGGATAACTGCTTAGAATGCAATTAGAATGAAGCGACCTTGGCCTAATCCAGGCACTATACCATCATTTATCTGGAAGAACTGAGGGAAACAACCGAAAAATCGCAGTCACTGAATGCGATGTATCGACAGAGATTCGTAGCCGGCACCTCCCGATCCGTTACCGTTAGCTCAACCTGCTTGGCTAAATTCCTAGCATACCGTACAACATCCAACATTACTCAAAACTGAACGCAGCCACCGTATTTCTTTTGTTCGAGAATTCCCTGGCTCGGCGGATGTTTTTGTAGAGATGAATGCAGTGGAGACAGGAGAGGGCACATTGCGAAATACACGCGTGACTTCGCGGTGTCTGTAATGGTAAAAATCGCCGCAGAATCTCACAACGCGAGGGTGCTAGACAATAGATTACCGGTGAAGCAGAAACCTTATTCCTCTCCTTCATTTCACCCTCGAAAACCACCCCCGAGTTAAAATAGCTTCCACATGACTCAAAGTTCAAATAACTTACATGCGCAGAGCAAACATTATGTTAATACGACGAGTTAACGAAAATTGCTTAGGCTTGAGAAAATCTAGGGGATGTACGTCGCAGATAAATAGCCTGCACCTTGCACGTGCACTGTAGTAAGCAACTTGAGGCCCGTCTTGCCTTCTAGTGCAGTTCAGGGGCTAATTTCATACGCCGATATCTAAATATATTGACACTGTGAAACGTGTGGCAAATACTGAGTTTAAAAATGAATAACGTAAGCCGTAACAACATTCATTATCATGTTATTCGTATTCAGATATTACAAGCTATCCCTGTGACACGACGTCGAGGCTCCCACATTTTCTAGACAATCAGCTCACAGAAGGTGGTGAGGTTGTCAGCCTTGCACACCAACCGCCCTTTAACTCCCCAGGAAGATTCCTGGTACTCACTTCTCTTAGTGGCTAAGTCGATAACAGAACCAGAGTGCGGCTACAAGGATTTGGCAAACTGAAAAAATCCAGTGACCTCACAGGGAATCGAACCCGCGACCTTCCGGTTTGTAGCATAGTGCCACAACCAACTACGCTACAGAGTGCAGCATTCAGATATTACTACGAGTATATCTTCTGGTTCTGCGAGACTTATAATGGATGTTTATTCAATAAAATATACATTTATGGTCATCATTTGACTTGGGGACCGGACACCATTTTGTGCGATCTTCCATCATGCCAGCGCACATAACAGTAACTTGCCTTACGCGCAGTTACAATACGTAACTACTCACTATTTTTCATGAGTTACTTTAATGAAGTTTTCAGTAGCTAAACTATATGCCATAGCGTTGATGGATTGATGATGGCCGAATGATGAATTGGAAAGGATCTGAAAGGAGGCGGAAATGGTGGTCTAACCGAAGTAGTATCCCGCCAAGTTGCCTCGAAGGGCTGATTAGAATCACGAAATTTGTCTACCAGATACCCCTGCCAAGATTCGAACACAGGACTACCCAAATGAGTGTATAGTGTTACCACTACACCAACCTGCTCAGTTTCTCACTACTGATTCCAAAATGGTTTGCTGTATGTTCCTCAAAGTATGAATCTGTTGATGAGGAGCTTCATAACTTGTACTCTTTGTCAAGTATGATTAGAATGATCAAGTAAAGGATGAGATTGGTAGGGCATGTAGCACGAATGGATCACAGAGGAATGCATATAGGATATTGGTGGGAAAGTCAGAAGGAAAAGCTCAGAACTGTTAAGTAAGGAAATGCCCTCACAAATTGTTGGATTTGTGGCTGTCACAGAAGTGCCTGAAAAGGCATACTACAGTATATACATTCATGAATTATAATAAATACCAGCGGTACACAAGTTATGTATAATGTAGGTTATTGAGAAATTCATTTGAGAGCAGTTACTCCTGCTGATTCAATTGATTCAGCACAGAGTATCTTCAGTGCACTTTGTTTGGAAATATGTGGACTCCCATACAGTTCCCATATCCCATTCTCCACCAGCTAAGAGCCCCCTGATCCAGAAATCTTTTTAACGAATGTAAATTCTGTTTTGAGGGCTCTGTTATCCCATATAAGTCACGAAGCTGATCTATCACATCCAAGTGAGTTGAACAGCTGTCACTGAAGTTACAGCACAGGCAGAGGTGTGGGGGTATGCAGTTCACTTGGGTACAATGCTCAACACTGGTTTCAGTTGAACCACTCTCATATAGTCTCAGTAACCACCTTAGTTAGATATCAAGAGATGAAATAACAGAATCTTACCTTCTGTACTGTCTGATGACTTCAAGCTATTGCAGACTGCTACATCACTTGATCAGGAATAAGGAAGGAGTCTGGGAACACAAAAAGGACAGAAAATTACCAGGTGGGAAGAATTGGTAATCTGTTCAATATACTGATGCTGAAGTAAGGGTCAGGTTTAGGGCTGCGCCATAGCTCAAGTGGTTAGTCACTGGCTTCCCACTGTGGCGGCCTGGGTTTGATCCCGGGTCTGGTCAAGTGGGATTTGTGGTGGACAAAGTGGCCCCTGGGCAGGTTTTCTCCGAGTACTTCAGTTTCCCCTGCCAATCTTCATCCCACCAATTGATCCACAATCACCCTCACCTATCATCTGGGGCTGGTACAATAGGCCAGAAGTGGCCTCAGTACAAGGGACTTAGTCCCACCCCACTAGCATTAAAAAAAAAAGGGTCATGTTTACAGCTGTGGAGGCCATGGAGGAATCCAAATGTGGAGACCCCCATAAGTAACATCTAATTTAGATTATGACAATTTGTCTTGTTACTTCTTATAATAAGTAAAAATACAGACCAACTTTTCATGATTTTAGAGTAGTGAATGTCTTTGTAAAATCTGTGGATTATATCTGTTACACGGAGGCCCTAATGAGAATAATCACTCATCCTTCAATCCAGCACTAGTTGAGGTATGTGAGCTGGAGAGGACAACAGGGACATGCCCTGACATATGTAAATATACTGGAAACCCACAAAAAAACGAAAATGATGCAAGGAAAGGAAGAAGATACACACACACACACACCATCTCAAAACTAGATGGTTCTGTTCAAAGGCTAGAAGAAAAATACATTCATTGTCCAAGCTTTTCTTACAATAAACTGTACTGAAATGTTGGACCTCAGGTTTTCATACTGGTGACTAAGAACAGTACAGTCTTCCGGAATGCAATGTCATGTAGCCCAGTAGAAGCTCACTGACATTTCAGAAAAACACAGAGGCAGAACAAGCTCAGCTCAGCTTGCTGCTAGCTTCTTTCCTGTTGAAATGTTCTATCTTTTGGGATATAACATCTCCTTACTACCTGCTTCATGTTGGCTTTTTGCTTGGCTTATTGTTTGACCCTGAAGATGGAGGCAATATGTTCCTCTGAAACTTAGATCAACTTTCAATGAACTACACTGTGTTATAACTCAGAAGACAGAATTCTTCATAACCACCACTGTAAGAACAACAAATCCTACTTCTTGTTTCTTCTTTGACTCTGAAGATGGAGGTGTATGTTCCTTTAAAATGTCAGTGAACTTTTACCAGACTACACAGTGTCACACCCCAGGAGACAGTATTCTTTGTACTGAATTAGTTATTCATTTACAGTCCAGCCCTTGGGAACAAACTCTGAATTCGGCCAACAATGCCTTGAGTGCAAAAAATAAAAAATCACCGTCTTCAATTTCAGTACTGACATGAGTATCTCTTCAGGCCTTCTAAGTAATGATATTTCCTTTCGTTATTCTCATCCTTCACCTTTGAACCATACAGAAAGAAATTAGGTTGTCACACAAACGATGGCAGACGATGTCATATTTTCAGTGTCTGAAACTGAAGATTTCGCTTTAATTTATGATCATAGGTCAAAATGTATGGATTGTTTTCATGCAAAACTTTTCACTGTTTTTAAGTTTGTGATTACAACTGACAGTAGTTATTGTATGGACATGTTCATGCTATTAATATGCCACTATTTCCTCTATCAGTTTGGATCAGTTACTTTGCTATTTCAGCATTCTTGTGGATTGTACAACATTTTAGTCATCCACATGATACATGTCTTCTCCACCCTCCATAAACCTCTTAAACTCTTCAGAGTACAGTGCTCTTATCAAAACCTCTTTACCATAGACTACTTTCAGCATTCTTAACAATGAAAATTTTCCAGACTCACTGTAAAACACTGTTAATGTAACTATCCGAACATTATATGTACCATATAGAATAAAATTTTAAATAATTTCAACTGTTCAAACTCTTTGGTACAGGTTTCTCCTAGTTTGACACAGAATTAATGTTTAATTCATTAGCCTAAGAAGTTGTTCATTTTTATAATTATGACAGAATGAGCATTTAATAAGAGCCACCATAGAACAAAACAAACTAGAAAGAACACCTAAGAGTGACATACGTGTTTTCCATGACTATAAAACTTCCAGTGTTGTCACACAAACCAATCCAGTCCAGAATCATCTGGACTGGACCTCATAAAATGTCTGCTAATCAAAGGATGATATTCCACAAATAAAAACATCTGCTTTAACCCGCTGTGTCCTAACGAGTTTGACATATAGTAAAATGTAGCAATGAAAGTAGACATGGAATAGTTTAAACATTATAGTATACCCAGCTATAAAGAACATGGGCATCATAATATACTGTATATGCACCAGGAAAGTAGGCTTCATGAGACAAAAGTAATGAGTGGTGAGCTTATTAATATTTTTAAAACATACCTAAAATAACTTTCTATTTCAATCTGTAAGATAAATCCTTTTAATTAACGAACAGCACAAAAGGAAACTAAGGAAACATAAATATAGTACAACTTCAATAATAATTTATATTTCACTAGAAGGTATCAGATAATAATTATCTCATACATAATTATTTTCACAAGATAAAATATGTTGAAATATGTATCATATGAAATGATCTGGAAAATATAAAATTATCATTAAATATACATTAACAAATATGAAACCTGAAATTTAAAGGAAATAAAACAAGGCACATTGTTCTTATATTTAAACATATTGTGATGCGTTACCTTACGCCCATCACCGCGACAACCGCTATAATCAGAACGGACACTTCCACGACAACGAATACGTGGTAACTGTGGAGTTCCATCAGTGACAAATCACAGCAACGAATTGTTGTTGAGTAACAATGGATGAGGCGAGACACATTACCAGTGTAATCTATAAGGAATGTTCCCGAAGCAACAGATTGCCGAACATGTGAGATCGAACCTTGGCAAGGGGTGTCCTCTATTGAGTCCGAATGAACCTTATATAAAGGGCCTGGCCTCGAGCAAGTATTGTGATATTGCAAGTGATAATAATTGTAAGAGTGAGTGTTCAATAAAGATTCACTAAATCCGAGACCCACGTGAAGTTATTTGTCGCGGAACATAGCCAATATGCGACAATATCTTGTATCACACTAACTACAGATTTGTTAAAATAATTCAGATGTATCTGAATATCATTTTAATGATTCAAATCATGCAAACTTACATTTACTGAGATCAGTTTGAAATGTTCTAAGGAAGCAATGTTAGTGATACTGTAAAACTTACAAGCTCTAATAAAATTTAAAACTTTAAAATGGTGGTCAGAATACTAGAAAATCAAAGGCAGAGAGAACAAAACCTAATATCAGATCTGAGGTTAAACAGCAGTGATTATAAACAATATCATCTTCTTGGATGTGATGCCATGTAGTCTGGCAGTTCACCATTTCTCTGGAATGTCAATGAACTTCTATTGGATTACATGGCTTCACCTCACAGACAATAATACTCTTCAAAGATCAAAGTTTTTCTCAGACTCAGAATGCTGGTAGTTGTCTTTAGAGTATCAGAACTTCATACAACAGAGCAAACAACCAGTGTAATGTGTATTGCTGCTGCTGCATCTTGCCTTCAATGATGACTGAAGAGGAAAACAGGCTGACACTTTCATCACTCCTCTCAATGTTAATAAATGAAGCTCAAAGATACAACTTTCTTCAATGAATCTTTTACCAGCTCCTGCATGCTGCTTAACAAATACACTCTTTCCTTTCTGAAAACTCCTCTTTTGGACTTTCCCCATCATCTGAATTTATTAAAATCACTGCAGCTTGGGCACTGATATTCTGTCTTTGAGCAAAAAGAACAAAACAGAGAACCTATTCTGTTGGGTCCCATGGTACAGCTGCTCTCAAACCAAATTTGAAAAAAGTATAGTTAAATTATTATGTCCATCACATGACTGAAACACATGCCAGGAAAGGGCTTAAAATCAAACAGAGTAGGTTATTTTTCATATCCTAATCATCACAAAATTGGAAACAGAACAAACTTCAGAATTTCGGAGGCTTTAATAAACTTGGACAATGGATAAAGTCTAAAACAGTAGTTTTAAATGGGGTGTCACACCATCATAAAAAATGATTAACCTTAATTCAGACATTTTTTGTTACAAAACTGGCTTCATTTATATTTAGAGACACATCAGACCTTATATAAAAATCCTGTCTTCTATCTGTTCACAATTACCTGCACTAATGTGGCACTTGTATCCATGTATCCAGTAGATTGTCAATACACCAGTACACAATAAAAATTATTATATCACTTCATATCTTCGAGGCTGAATGGGCTGAAACAAACTGATGGTAAAAAATAACATAAATGTCATACAACAGGAGTAACATCCACATATATTAAACAAATTTATTGCAATGATACCTGTATTTGAGGTTCTGACATTAGTACCTATGAAAATCACTGTCTCTTCAGGTTTGATGCTGACAGTTTTGCAGGTAGGTACAAACGTTTGGAAGATGCTTCAAGGTTGAAGAGGGAGGCAGCACATTCTGCAGGAACAATTGTACCTGCCTATCAAACTATGATAATCTACAGTGACCACTGATGAAACGTGGGTACACTACTTCATTCCCGAGTCCCAGCAGTCATCACGCGAGTGGCGGCATACCAGTTCTCCCAAACTCAAGAAAGCACGGAGGAGCTGTTCGGCAGGAAAAGTGATGGCAACCTTCTTCTGGGACTGGCAGGGGGTTATCCATGTAGACTTTCTGACAGATGCCAGAACAGTCAATGCAGCTTATTACTCAGACCTCCTGGCAACAGACGTGAAGGAAAAGTTCCGATCCAAGCAGAAGACAGGTGGAAAGTGGGTAGCCTTCCTTCAAGACAATGCACAACCCATACGGCCAAAACAACAATGTAAACCCTCCAGAAATTGAAATGGAACCTTCTGACACATCCGCCGTACAGTCCCAATTTGGCCCCAAGTGATTTCTACCTGTTTGGAAGGCTCAAATCAGGCTTGCAAGGCATGCGGTTTGTGGACCACACCGTCATCCAGACTGTTCGGGAGTGAATACGCTGCCAACCACAAGCCTTTTTTTTAAAGGGGCATCAGAATGCTTTCAGAACGTTGGAAAAAATGTGTTGACTCCGGAGGGGAGTACGTTGAAGACTTACATGTGCAAGTAAGTGTTTGGCAATTATAGTTAAAAAAAAAAATCAGTCCTGGTCATATCTGAACCACCTTGTGCATAAGTCACACCCAAGAAGACAGTGATCTTCAAATGTAAAGCAATCAGAAATTTTGTTTTGTCTACCGTAAGTTTCAAGTGGCCTGTACCAACAGCAGTGATTTAGTTAAGATAGTAAGGTAAAACTGCTTTAAATGTAATTGGTGGGAAGTACCTTCACTTTATGTAGTATGCAGTGCATTGTCATACACAGTGTCCCACCTTGTTAAAAGAAAACATTACGAAGTACCAAGAGTATTTCATGTAAGACACTGCAGCCTTCTTGAAAACAAAACAACACAAGGAACTATGATTTATATATAGACACACTCTAAAATAACTTCAGAAATACCTTCCCTTAAATAACAGCATTAAAAGACAAAAGCATTGAATTAGGATTACTGAGAGTTTGGACTTTGTCCATTGCTCATGCTGTAAAGAGCACAGTGTTTCAGAAACTGTAACCTCTTCCATCTTCTGTGAAAAGGGTTGGAGGCATTTACTCTGTTGGATTCGCTAGAAAGAGCTAACCTCAGTTACTGGATTATGGTTAGCTCTTCCTAAAAGACCCAATGAAGTAGGTGCCTCCCACATCTCCATCTGAGGATGGTAACAGATCCAGTTCACAAAACGATTTCTTTCAAATGCCAGATGATGGACAGAAATAAAAAATTCAGTAATCCCAAGTGTTATACACCATCATCAGCATCCTTTAGAATTACTACAATCAATATTATTTATTCTGGAGGACACTGCAGTAACAAAATAATTCAGGCTTGTACCATGGCCTGCTGTATTATTAACTGAAATTCAGCAACAGATAATTCTGCAGACAATCTTTAAACACTCATTTATCAGCAGTATATGAAGGACACCAATCACTGTTTCAACCCACAGCCTATACTGTGACAGATTGGGCCATTTGTAGGAAACAAACAGGTAAACACATTCCAAAGCATTCAAGAACAGACACCCATTGCTATGCGATGGTTTTAGTGATTCACTGCATGCAGTGTAACTTTAACAGTTGAAAACCGATATCTATGGCAATGAATTGTTCAAAGCACAGTAACGGCTAAGAACGCAATAAATGTAACTTGAAAGAGGTAACTCCTACACAGTTTGCTGAAACATTATAACAGGGGGGCAATTTGTCGGATGAAAGAAGAACCAAGAAAGGATTCATTGAGTAAGGGGTTCCAGTGAGATCCAAACAGAAGTCAGAAAAAGAAGTGAAGTCTTTATTTTATGTGGTGTAGTTACAGCAACCTTCAGAGTGTCATAACACTTCATAGTTACAAAGTGTTATAGTTACAGTAAGACTGAAAGTGTTATAATCAATTATAGTTCCTCCTGGCAAATATCCAATAAATAAACTCACTAATCCAAATCCATGTCTAAAGTTCCTAATAAATGTGAAAATATGAAGGACAATGATCAATGTTTCAACCCACAGATTCACCTACAGGCTACAGAACAGTTTGCTATTCACTGTGTGGGTGAAATATATTACATTTATTCTTATACTGTATGTATTTAGATGTAATAAGGCACATGCTCTATGAAGCGTCTGCTGTCAGGTACTTACCTATCAGATTTCTTCCCTTCTGATGAGACTTATATGCACTGTTTAATGCTTCATAAATATCACCATAATGTTCTTCTACGAGCAACATTCTGAAAAGAAAGCATCAATAGTTATGTTAGGAATCACTAAGTTAAGCATCATCCACATCAACATTAAGATTAAACTGTAAAATGTTCTGCTATGGGTCACTCTTATGAAATAAAATTTTCTGTTCATGTTTGCCCATACTGGGATATAATGTACCTACATTTCTTCTGCAAGATGATGGTGCAAACAATTCACACATTACTCATTTGGACAACAGTTTTATATTTGCTTTAAGCGTAAATCTTTATATCTAAGGAAACACAGACGATAAAATTGAATCCATCCATAAATACCAAAGAGCACATTCTCAATAATATAGGAACCACTGTGTTTATCATCTCACAATAAGAGTGTCTTTGTCTTGGGTAAAAATTTAGTTTACTTGAAACATAAGTAATTATCAATGTTAAATGAACTGACCAATGGATTGTAACCAGTTGCCTCCATCTTTCTCAGCTCCTGCAAAAGTTTTTGTTCCTCCAATTTTGCTTCCTCTTTCTTCTTCTCTGCTTCCAACTCAGCAATCCTTGCTTCAGCCATTTGCTGCTGATGTTTAGCAGCAACCTGCATAAACAAGGGGATTAAGATAGAAAAACTTACATTCCAATAAACTGGAAAACAATGCATGGAACATGAAATATGTAAAGACTCAAAATTCAGGCTGTATAACAACAGTCTGGGAAACAACAAACATAATACATGTTTCTAAAGTTTGAAAACTATGAAGAATAAACTGCATAAGCATCTGTGCCCTGCATTATAAACATAAACATAAAATACATCTATTACAGCAGCTTAACCTATAAATATAAACTAGCTCCATGCTAGTTGTCACAGTTGAAGTGACTGAAGAGATATTCTCACAGAATTATCAACCATAACTGCATACCATTATGAAAACATAAAATATTTCACTGAAATTCATAACTACACTACATTTATAACTCACCTCAAATTAGTGACAAGATAAAGAAAATGTGGATCTATACATCCACTCCCCCCCTTACACATTCATGGCATATTGCTTAATTAGTTAAGCACAGGGACAGTTTTACTTTTTACACTACATTTATAACCTTTCACAATACAAAATGTTACTTAGTTATTTCAAACTTAACAACATACAATCACAACTTAGTGCCATGTTACTGTTTATCACTTGTGAACAAAATCATTTTTAAAAATTTTAATTTTTTTGTAATTCATTTCATATGCATTTAATACTACCAGAATCCTCTAATCCAGTGTTAGATGTATGCATGATTGGTATTTTTTTAACAGTGTAATATTTTATTCCAAATTTGTTAAAAGTTCACAATTTATCTCACAGCCAAATTTCATTTGTCCGAAGAGAACACTTCACACACACTACTATCATGAAGTTTGCACACCTAATCTAATGCGTTCATTCAATCCTCTACTTAGTATATCCCACAATACAACACAATTTAAAAAGGTAGATGCACATTTAACACCTGGCTTGCCTCAGTTCTCACATATCTCTATGGTTAATACACTTGAATTATGGAACTCAAAAACAAATCCATACTTCGTATTACCGATACAATTTGGTCAACAACTTGCAAGCATTATTCCCTATTTCAATGCTTTTCCACAAGTTATTACTCTTGAACTCTGGACCTGGATGCATACAAGCTCGCAGTACCAGGCTTTTTCACCCTACTTTCTTCATTTCGCAGAACAGCAGGAAGCTTATCAGATCACCTTGCAGTCTGTGTGTCTGTGCCTGTCATTTTCTGTAAATAACTTCTAGGCAGACCTCACAGTAAAAAACACCTCCAACAGTTGGGTGAGTTATTTTGTATGCTGTCCATGTCATATCAAATGAAATTAGGTAATCAGTTCTTCCCATAAGTACCTCTAAATTTTACCTTAATTCATTAATTTTATCAGCAGCACTATAGCATTTCTTGTCTCTGTAAGAATCAGGCCAGGGAAACTGACATACTGACTGCTCAGCTACTGTAAAAAAACTGTGCTTCCAAATACGCATTGCCATGGAAGAAAGAGAAATAATATGGCTCTTGGCAGTGTCAGGTTGTGTAGCTGCAATTCTGCATGATGTGACTTCTAGATCAGGATTCACCATGGAACTTCATGTACCATTTATCATGCCTAGTTAAAGAAATATTGTGAGAGATAACTCTCCTTGGCACCCCTACCAGAAAGACAGTTTATCATAGTCACTTACCCCTGCAACTAAACATTACAGGGATTCTAGCAACAACTGAAAAGCAATAAATTTGTATAAAATTCTAGAATCCAACTCTGAACGCTGCTGCTGCACGCACCTTCCCATGTCTCAATAATCACAGACACTTCAACACTTTTAAGCATTAAGCTTAATTTATCATTCCACCTTGACTGTGCTGGATGATTCCTACATGACTGTGAAGAAACAAATGGTCCTGTCTCTCTAAATGTAAGACTTAAGTACTTTTTCTCCAAGTCACTGAAAACTATTTGCAAAGAACTCAAGAACCTTCAAAAGATAACATATATTATTCTTTTCACTGTCATGACACAACAGTGTTGTAAATGGTTAAAAGTCTTTCCCAATGGCACCGAGATGTAGTCATGCAAAAAATTGGTTTATATACTGTAATGTGGATGGCACAACAGGAAGTAAGGGTCACGTGAACTCTGCGTTTCAGCGAGTGATGTCACATACCCCCACTCCTTCCATCACTATGTAACGCTCAGTGAACACTCCTCACCGATAGGCTGTGACACCATGAAACAGGCGACTCCATGCAGAGACTACTGCTAGGCAATTGGCAGCATTGCCCAGCAACGCCTCTGTAAACACAGCGATTACGCAACAGGGAAGGGAGGTGCATTTTCCATTTTCAACTTCTGTTGATGTCTAGCAGTGACCGCTCTACACCACGAATAATATCCTCTCTTGTGTTGTAATGTGTGATTTTGGCAAAGAGATCATAATCATACGGACTCATACTGGGTGAGTATGGTGGATGTTGCAATATCTCCCATCGCCAGCAGTGAAGGAGATCCTTGACAGCATCAGCAGTATAAGCCCTTGCATTCCCATAAAGGATGATGGGATTTGTTGCCCACAAGCGTCATCGCTTTCTCCCAAGTGCTGGACGAAGATGATTATGCAGGAAACTGCAGTAGTAGGCAGCGTTTACTGTCTGTTGTTGAGGTACAGTGTGGTGCAGTATCACTCCACCAATGTCATATGCCACAATGAACATTGCCTTCACATTACTCTGTGTAGGGCGCACTTTCTTTGGATAAGGAGAGCCAGGATGCTTCCATTCATTTGATTGTCGCTTCAAGCGCAGTTCGTATGAGCAAGCCTAAGTTTCGTCTAGAGTGACAAACATTCCAAGGAAGTCGTCACCTTCCTTCTGGTACCAGTCCAACAAGTCCTGTGCAATTGCATAATGTTGCCATCGTTGCACCTCGGACATTGTATGGGGTACTCAATGCACTGCAATTTTGCGGTATCCAAGAATATCGTGCAGAATGTGGAGCACGGTTTTGTGACATACACCTACCACAGCAGCTAATTCCGGCACAACCCATCGACGATCAACATCCAGCAAAGAAGCAAGAAGCTGAATTGTGTGGCTATCAACATGGGATCATCCTGAACGATGGCTGTCCAGAATGGCATCCCTCCCTTCATGGAACAATTTCACCCATTGTGCCACTATGCAGTATGGCAAAGCAGCATCACCACATGCTTCTCGCAGTCCCTGATAACAGTTTTGTGCACTATGACCTTGTGCATCTTCAATTTTTATCCAGGACTGTTCTTGTTTCATAAATATGTGGTTGGGGTGCTTGAACTGGGCTCCTGCACTTCAAGTTGATGCAGAATGCAACTCAATGAAACACAACTAGAGCCACTCACTGCACTACTTCAACTGAACTTCTGCTATCAGCTACAGATGGCGCTAGTGCCACCTGATGCACATCTTTCATGTTACAGAACTGTTGCAACTACTTTTTATCCAACCCTTGTAGTTATTTTATAAATCTGAAAGTTGTTATGTACAGGTATAGGTATATGTATAGGTATGAGGGGAAAATATAAATTATGAGTATTTAAAAACAGAGACCTCAAGTTTCTGTTTGGATCTAAGAAACATTTAGGAGATTACATAACAAGAAATCCTGCGATTTACATAGCTCAAAAGCTACTGCTATAAATAATAAAATCTAGGAGACTCTGATGGGCTTGGCATGTATCCAGGATGGCAGAGCCAAAGACTGCATACCAAACTTTGGTGGAGAAACATCTTGGAAAATTTCAACTTGTTAAGACCAAGAAAATAACATAACATAAAGATGGATCTTGGGGAAGTAGGTTGTGAAGATGGGACATAGATCAAACGTCAACAGGATCATGTCCAATGGTGGGCTTTTGTATTTTAAATGCTGAACTTCCAGTTGGTTATGTAGGATTTGAGGTTCTCACAGAGGTGGTTATGAAAAGTACCATCTTCTGGGACATAACCCTGTGTAGTCTGTAGAAAGTCAACCAACATTTCAGAGGTACACATCATCTCCATCTTGGCTTGTCAACTGCTTCCACACTTGTATTTTGCTTGGCTTATTTGACCCTGAAGATGGAGGCGATATGTTCCTCCGAAATATCAGTTGACTTTCAACAGACTACACAGCATTATATCTCAGAAGATATTACTCTTCAGCCAGTTAGTTAGTTGATTAGTTCAAATTGTGAGGTTATATGCAGCTGTAAGATGTATTTGAATGATGAACTGGAAGGAGGGATCAGTTATGGTGTAATAATCAATTCCAGCATTTGGTTGTGCATACATAACCTTGCTTAGATTATCAAGTCTGAATTCATTTTGAAGATGTCACTACTGTCCCAGCTGACATAGTGCACTCAGGCGAGTGATCAAAATATTTAAAGGACTGCTAAAATGTGTAATGGGGTGTAAAACAAAGAGAGGCTGAAGATCACCATTACTACGAAGAATGTACCTGAATATCTATCTCTTTCTTGAATGATTCCTTCATTTGTTTAACTGCTGCCCTCTCTTCCTTTAGCTCTGCATTAGCTTGCTCAACACGGGCAACAAGCTCCTCCCTACTCTTGACTAGATCCCGCTGTTCGGCAAGGTTTGCCTCAAGTTTCTCCTCCAACTGGCGCTGCAGAACGGTAAGCACCTCTGTCATCAGCCGTTCCCTGGCCTCACGTTCAAGATTCCATTTCTCTTCCTGCTGTGACCACATCCGCTGTGCCTCTTCACTGTCAAAAATCACATTACCAACATCAGTAACACAAAAAGCCCAATCAGTTGCCTCCACATCAATAATAATTAATTCAGAAACNTATTACTGCCACTTGAAGGCTTATTGAGACATACATTAATTTCAAGATGTTGATAATTATCAACATCTTGAAATTAATGTATGCTGTGAACATCATGTGACTGATTGATAAATTATAATTTATCAATCAGTCACATGATGTTCACAGCATACATTAATTTCAAGATGTTGATAATTATCAACATCTTGAAATTAATGTATGTCTCAATAAGCCTTCAAGTGGCAGTAATAAGCCCAGCTAAAAAGAACAGTGAAAGACACTACAGCGTATTCCACAAGCATAACTCACTAACCCTATAACTCCTTTCAATCAATATTTATCATCCAGAAAAGGAGGATTTCACATCTCTGAATACTACAGACAGATCAGTAATTTTATCTTTTGACAACACGGGATCTTAAATTTCCTCCAGTTACTATGGTTGGTAGTCGTAATTTAATTCAGGGTCAATTGCATTATTACTGAAAAAATGCAAAGTTTGAACACCTGGATCATGTGCACACACTGCTGTAATAATATAATGCACAGACACCACAAGTTAAACACACCACACGCAGTAGATACTGTCCAACATAATTGTGCTGTAAGGGAAGACGCACGCTCCGAGCATTCATAAGCATTCCACATTCTCGCATAATTCACTTCTGTAAAAAAAAGATCACTCTATTAATCTTAACTGAAATTAAAGATATAATTGTCCTTGTGTTTAAAGAAGCAACATAATATGAACATGTGTGAGGGAGTGAAGCTATAGCTCCACACATTCTCAACCACAGCACTAGATGACAGTAAGTGGTTAGCTTCATGCCCTGGCCACTTTAACCCAATGGAAAAGGCCCCTGTTCTCCAGTGGATAGGAGGCTGGGTGGGTCCCAGAGCTACTCTAGATGCTTCGGGGAAGCAAAAAATTTCTTTCCCCTGCCTAAAATAGAACCCTGGTTCCTCAGTCACCTAGCCCATAGTCTAATCATTATGCCAGATGTGCTATCCTGGATCCTCTAAACATATGTACAAAACAACATATTTAATTCATTAACACTTACAAACCACTACTATGACTTTTTCAGTCTGGTAGATACAGAACATGATAAACAGGTTCTAATTGGATAAGCTAACTATCTTAGTAGTTGAAACGGCCCTTACTGAAACAGAAATGCCATATGCTTCTCACGCTCCTTCTCAACACGTGCCTGCTCTGCAAGAGCTTCACGTGCATAGAGCATCTCCCTGCGTGCAGCTTCTCGTTGCTCGCTGACTCTTGTTTTCTCCTCCAGTTCAATGGACATAAGTTTCTCTAGCAAACGCATATCTTCTGCCAGTTGCTCCTGCACTTCCTTGGCACGACGACGGAGTTTCAACTGGTACTGGCGCTGCAAGAATGACCTACAAGAAGCATTTCTCTATTAATAATGTATCACCATTCCAAATGTGTCTGAGATATACATTTTATGAATTGCTGCCTGTTTTACTGATTAATCCCTGAGTGAATTAATAACACTGTCAAATACAATGGGAAGATTATTGCGAATGATGAGTAAGTAAGTACAAGGTCTGACAATGAAGTTCTCAAACTTGCCACTGTGTGCTTGCCATGGCAGCAATGGTCACAAACCTCGGTATGGTTTGATGATGTTGGCAAATCAGCATTTGACAGCTGTGTTGTTACTGGTCTATGGAAGTCTCTTTCTGAGTGGCGTCTATTATTGTCTGAGTGTATTTCGGTGAGCCGTCACGAGAATGTTGGAGCTTGAATCAGAGCAACAAACAAACATTAAATTTCTTGTTAAACTTGGCAAGAGTGGAAGTGAAATTAGAGAAATGTTAATGCAAGTTTACGGGGATAATGCTATGAAGAAAACAGCACTTTAAAAGCAGGTGACATGTTTTCCTAAAGGACGATAAAGCGTCACTGACGAAGAGAGATCAGAACAGCCAGCAATGAGCAGAACTGCAGAAAACATTGCAAAAGTTCATCAAATTCTATGTGAAAATCATCGGCTTACTGTCAGAAGCATAGCAGAGTAAGCAAACATTGAAAGAGAAACAGTTGGGAAAATCTTAACTAAGATCTTGATCTGAGGAAGGTGTGTGCAAAAATGGTCACAAAGGAGTTCACTGAAGAACACTGTCTCTGAGGGAGTTTATAGCTAGGAAACAAATGACTGTGTGGAACACCCTTCCTGTTCACCGGATCTAGCCCTCAATGACTTTTTTTCTATTCCCAAAGATAAAGGAAATATTGAAAGGAAGGCATTTTGATGACACTGATGACATCAGGAGTAATATGACAGCAGCTCTGAAAGCCATTTCACAAAGCCAGTTCCAAAATTTGTTTTGAAGAGTGGACCAGGTACTGACATCAGTGCATAGCTTCCCAATGGGAACACACTGAAGGCAACCACAGTGATATTCAGCAATGAGGTATGTAGAACTTTTACCACGAGTTCACGAGCTTTACTGTCAGATCACGTATTAGGAAAAAGGTGGTAATGGTCTGTATGAAAGAACAGTCCTGGCTTTCAACCAAAGATACTGAGAAAAATCACAAAAACCTCAGTCAAGATGGCCAATAGCCCAGACAAGATGCAAACCAACTACCTCTTAAATACATGGTGCAATCCAAAAGTTCCCGAAATATATTAATAAAAACTATTACATCTTACCTAGATCTTATTCTGCACCATCACCTTCAAAGTAGTCCCCTTGGGAGCGCATATACCGATCCCAGCGTTTCTGCCACTTTT